AAAAAAAAAAAACGATTAGGATGTCTCCAAGTTTGTTTACACGTATTTTGAGACTAATTCCTCTTTGAACTAGTCAAATGTAGATCATTCACACTAAAACTAAAGAATTCATAAGGAATTATCTTTTCATTAGTCTTTTAATAAATTGAATTTTGATCAATAAGATGAGAAGTAAATTTTTTTACCAATCAAGTCACAACTCCTTAAAAATATATTTATGCATGTAAACTTGTCTCAATAACAAATTTTTGCCTGCCTAAAATTTTCACATTAGCTTCAATGCTTGACAAAACTTAGAAGCTTATTAGTTAAGGAATTATGGGACATCATGTTCTAACCTTTTTGCTTTCGCAGAGCATGAAGGATAATAACAACAGGTAATATAAGGACTAAATTAGCTAACGGTAAGTTTCAGAAAAATTGAAATAAAAACAAAATTGAGGGGCAAATATAGGATTTAGCCCCAAGAAGAAAATATCTAAGAAAGGATGCTTAGTGGCGCGTTCAAGGCCAGATATTTTTGTCTGGTGCCCGTGAATTCTCAGCCACTGAACCTGCCACGTTTCGACCAGAAAAAGGTTTGATCCTTCCCGGGCAGGAGCTGCCCAGGACCAAAGGAAGGGAATCGAATGTTTTTGATGCGGTGCGGATGATCCGTCTGGTCTTTAGCCGTTGGGCTTAATGGCTAAGAAATTTCCGAGAACATGTGGCCAACGCGGAGAACTTTGCCTTTATTTGAGTGGGGAAGTTGATCAAACTAGTTCGATGCATGCATGTGAGTTGATTCATAATATATTATTATTGTTTTTTATTTGTTACGCTTTTAAAAGAAACTTATCTAAATTTATTTGTCACTGTTATTAATGCTGAGTCATTAATTACTGTATTTTTTAAAAAGATAATATATATTAATTTTAATTTTTATATTATTTCAAATTTCATATTATATTAATAGAAAATTATGAACAAATTTGATATATAAATATGAAAATTAATTATTATTAACAATTTAAATTTAAATTTATTAGTTTAATAATGGTTTTAACTTAAATTATTTTAACTATTAAATTATAAGTTGTTATAAAATTATTAAAACAAATGTTAAAAATTAAAGAATTTAAAAATTTTTTTTTTGGCACAATACAATAAGAGGAAAAAAGAACTAGAGAATTAATGCACTGAATTCAAAACCTCTCAAAATTTTCATCATGTGGGCGGTTGATCTCCTGGCCCTACTGCTTGTTATCTTCGAAATCCTAACTGCATGGTTAAAAGAGCGTGTTTATAAATTGTAACAATAGTTTTTTTTTTTGAATGAGGACAATAATAGGAGGACGGGGAAATGAGTCAGTTCATAAATTGAAAAAACACTAATGATTTGAAAATTAAATATAATTATTTAAGTAGTTGATAAAAATTAAATTTTTGATTTTTTTTTTAAAATTTTTTATCATGGGATGAGTTTGAAATCTACCAAAAAAGAGAAATATGCACTTTTTTAATAGTACTAACCATTGGACCACAAAGACCAAGTGCAATTAAATTTTTGATTAAATTTTATCTAAGTAATAAAATTTATGAATGATCAAACTTTATCCAAATAATAAAATTTAGGAATGAATTATTAACTCTCAAAGAATCGATTGATTTGTAATAATAGTTTAGTTAATTACCTACGTGTCTTCTTCAATAATGTTATTATTTTAAAATCCCATCAGACTCAAGCAGTAAGTTCAATCAAACTCAGTACCGCTCTTCCAATCGGACGGTGTGATCACGAGGTACGTGTCCTCCACAGCGAGACACGTCACCCAACGCCTCCCAAAATATCTTCCGACAAATCCAATAAAATAATCATTCCCCCGCCTGCCCATTCTCAGTCCCTAATTCTTAATTGGACAGACCATTTTATCTTTAATCAACCTGTCGTTCTGTCAAGCACAAAATCGTAATTTAAATACCCATGTATGTACATCACCCATGGCATGATGGCCATACCGCCACATACATGCATGACCTTGGAGCCATGACGTGACATGGCACGAGGGCCTTCCAGCGCGAGAGGAAAATATCAATGCCACGTTCGCAGCAATCTATAAGCGAACAGCTTACAGCCCTTTTAAAGATCTCCTATTTTTTTTAGTTTTCTTATTTATCTCACCACTATCAAGAGCTCCACAACCTCTTAATAATTTCACCTAAAAAATCAGATAATTCCTCAGAAAAATCTCCTTTTTATACGTTGTTTGCTTCGAAGGAAAAAAAAAAAAGAAGAAGAAATCTGAGGTTATATCAGTAGGGAAAATTTCGTCTGAATATCTACAGAATAGCTGGTACTGGTACTTCTCCATTTTTCCATTTTTAAAAAAAATTATTTTCTGATTTTCTGTTAATGCGTTTTTGTTTTAAAATTTATTTCGTTGTTCTATGTTACTGATTTTAATTTTTATGATTTTTTTGTGTTTTTAAATTGTTATTTAGATTTATGCTCCGCTGCGGGTTTTAGATTTGGATTTTTTGATGAAATTTTGGTATATAGTTTCTAAAATACTTCATTTTGCTATTTCTTTTGTTTCTGCAGCTGAGGGAGGTCTGGATTTCTTTTTTCGAACGGTAATTTAGGAGTTTCTGAAGTTTGAGGGAGTTTCAGGAGATAGTTTTTGTAGATAAATAGAAGGTTCTAGAAATTTCGATTTTGTTGAGAGAGGTGCAACGGTTTTGTTGTTGATTTATTGGAAGTAATCGAGGTTGATTCTTCATTTTCCGATTGGTAATTTGTGGAATTTGGCGCGCAGCAATCTGCGTAGGATGTTGAATTATGATATTTTGATTCTTGATTGGTAGCGGTTTTCTGAGTTCTCGGTTGTTGGTTCTGGTGTGCTTGTTGTTTGTTAGCTGTTATGATTGATTCGAAGAGTTTTGTATTTGGAAGATAAATTGTATTTCCCATCCCATGGCTAGTTCATCTGAGAGGTGGATTGATGGCCTTCAGTTCTCCTCACTGTTCTGGCCTCCTCCACAAGACCTTCAACAAAGAAAGGTACGAGTTCGAGATTTATGTTCCTTTTCTGGTATAATTTCGTATTTTCTGTTGCTGATTAAGTCGTGATGAAACCTACTTGTTATGTGATCCTCTATGAGAGTTTTGTTTAGCTCTGGTAGTATGGTGAAAAGCTATTCCTGGGATTAGACTAGTGACTTTAGTTCTAGGAATGGAATTAAAGTCATCTCTTTTAAGATGTCAAAAGTACTTTTCTGTAGGATGGAAGAGGTTTATTCTTTGATATCTTTTTTGTATCTTAAACCTGACTGTTGGTGCTAGTCTGCTTATAGACCTGAGTTGAACTGTATATTATAGAGAAATTCAGTTCCTTGGTTTGGTTTTAACTGTCTCCACCTTTTCCTCTTTTCCAATTGGTTATGATTGTATTTGCTTTCAGAGTAGTTTGGCTGATAATGATGTAACGTTGCTGTTAAAAAAAATCACACCTACTGACCCACTGTAGCATTGCATTTAGTACTTGCATACATCAGAAGAAAAATAATGCAAAACCAGCAAATATGGAATTATAGTAGAATAATTTTGGGGGGGGGGGGGGCGGGAATTGAGGCATTCTCTTCCCTTTTTATTGCATATTTATGAAACACAAAAAATGAACATTTGTTTTAAATGAATATATAATTAATTTTCTATGCTATACATCTACGTCTTTTACCTAATTTGCATATGGGTTCTAGATTTTCCTTCAATTACTGATATAGGTGCTTCCTTAAACCTGGTCTTCTCTAGGCTCAAATTACTGCATATGTTGAGTACTTTGGTCAATTCACATCAGAACAATTCCCTGAAGATATAGCTGAGGTAAGATTTATCTTTTTACAACTGTTTCTCATTCCTATAGAAATTGAAAGGAATAAGAACTTAATTAATTTGTTTATAATCTGCATGAAAACACATTAACTTTGTTGAGAGATAGTAAGTTGTGTCAAGTTGTGTTTATAAACAAATTTTGCTTATCTATCACTATAAACAAAAGGCTAAATGTTTCTTTTGCATATTCTTGTGACAGCTGATTCGCAGCCGCTATCCATCAGCAGAAAAGCGCCTTTTTGATGATGTTCTGGGTATTGGCTCTCCTCCATTCTATGTATCAGAGCAGATTATTGAACCCCGCAATTAATATTAACAATGAAAAATATCTTATTGATGGCTTTCTGAATTTATTGGTTACAGCGACATTTGTCCTTCATCATCCAGAGCATGGACATGCTGTTGTACATCCAATTATTTCGTGCATAATTGATGGAACACTGGTGTATGATAAGAGTAGTCCTCCCTTTGCTTCATTCATTTCCTTAGTCTGCCCAAGTAGTAAGGTATTGGGCCTGAAGACTTAACTTCTTAAATTTCATTTTCATTTTGTTCTGTACAGACCTTGCTTGTTGAGCTGTATTTTATTTTCTGCTTAACTCTTTTTCTTTCATTTCTAAGGTTTTACAAGCCTATAGTGTCTTTTACTCTCTTGTTTGTTGACTAAAAGAATGAAATGCATTTTCAAGCTGAAGAAAAACATATCAAAAATAAATAGACATTCACCTTTCTCTGCAGAATGAGTATTCTGAACAGTGGGCTCTGGCTTGTGGGGAGATATTGCGAATTTTGACTCATTACAACCGTCCAATATTTAAGGTGGACCCTCCAAATAGTGAAACAGAGAGAAGCACTGGAAGCAGCAGTACAAGTACAAATTCCATAGATGGGGAATCATCCTGCCAAATACCTCTGATGCAGCAAGAGAGGAAGCCTTTAAGGCCTCTATCTCCTTGGATTACTGATATATTGCTTGCTGCTCCTCTGGGCATCAGAAGTGACTATTTCCGCTGGTAGGTGTATTCTTTACTATGGTTCTGTGTTGTTTTCTTCTTCTTAATGTTAAGGTTCAATTCATTTCTAAAAGGTTGGTAGTACTTGTGAAAGACCAGTCTTAAGAATGTTAATGCAAAGTGTACTGGTTCTTATTATTCTTTTTGTTGCTGGACTTCTAGTTATGGCTTTTATTATTGTATTTGGAGATGGTCTGTGTGGTTTCAGCCAGGAGTAGATGCAAAATAAGAAATCTGAAATGTTTGGTTGACAAGATCCCAAAGTTCTAGTGGCAAGTAGCAACCAATCTAAAAGGAAATCCTAAAAGTAGTATCTTTATTCTGCTGTCTTTGAAATTTTCCCCAAATCCCTAAAATATTCCAGTTCAATTCCATTGTAAGTTCTAATGATACATTGGCTGAATTTCTTAAGCTTCCTCTGTTCATAAGTTCTGCACTTGCTGTGCAACAATGGGAAGTTGATTAGTCAATTCTTACAAAGATCTTTTCCTTCTATGCATTTTACTGTCCTTGTGAAAGTGATTGACAGAGTCAATAGCTTAGAACTTTTTAAAGTTCTGGTGGATAAAATTTCTCTGATGGGGTGAAGGGAATGAATTCAGTGAACTTCATCTTAAATTCTGCTGTAAGTTCCTTAATACTCCTGTAGTCTTAAAACACTTTTAGGTGGTCATCCAACTTAAACAATAAAACATCCCAGTTGAAGATTAATTTAGCAAATCTTTGGTTTCAGTGATACTTGATGCTTAGTTTCGTTCATCAATTAACTTCAATTATGGGTTGCCCTATCACTGCAATAGTTGGATAAATTGGAGGTCTATGGGAACTCCTGGCAAAGAGTTAGAGCAGAACTGTAACCCTAAGTTTCTTTCCTTGATCCCAGCACTGGTGAAAATTAAGTAGACTCTGATGTACCAAAAAAAATTAAGTAGACTCCCTGTCTCTAAAAGTGGTTGGGAATTTAGAATCTAGTCTGTTTATGCTTCACTTTTTTATTTAGAAAAATTACAAGCTGTAGCACAAAGATGGTCCGATGTGTTAGTTTAGGTAAATGAAAGTTCAATTGGAGTTTGATGTGGATGGTGAAGACTGCATATATTGTATGCCTGTAAGTGTAATTATGAGTCAGTTAATGCAATTGAGCATTCTGCTTAAGTAGGGAATTATGTCATGGTGCATAAAGGATAAAGGGATGAAACTATATTTGGAAAAATTAAAGAAAGCATGGCGGTGGTGACAAATATTGTACATGAGGTCAGTTAGCATATGTTTTTATCTGGAGTAAATTTATGGCCACTGACCCATTTCTGACTATTGCTTCCCCAGTTACACTTGTAATGATTGATGAATTTTTACTATTTTTCTGGCAAGTTGGTAGCAAATATATTTTAATGCCGGGTTGATTGTGAATGTTGAAGGTCATTTTTAATACCAGATACGATATAATATAGTGACAAGTGATTATTTTTATATTCATGGAATGGATACAGTATATATATATATCTATTTGGCCATAAGAAATAAGTTATATGCTTGGATACCATGTTCGATGTGTTCTACTTCAATTTTTATGGTATAATTTGTTGATTTTCCCAGCATACCAATGTAATTGTGGACTGTGAGAAGGTCTGCATTTTTTGCATGGCTTGTTGGTTGGTCAAGTTTTTGTAGTATTTATTATGTTGCATAAACATTGCATTAATTATAGTAATTTAAAAATGTTTGAGCATGCTTCTAGGATCAACATGTAACCCTTTCTGCTCCCCTTTCATTAAGATTTGTTTTTTTTGGGAATGAAATAGGACTTGAGTTTGCAACATGCATGGAGCTATGCTGTTAGGCCGTAAGGCTGCTGGAAGCAAAGACAGTAAAATTAATGGAAATCAATTGGTAGAGAAATTTCATGTAACTGAAATTGAAGAATATGTGAATTTTAAGTTTTTATGTTAGTTTATTTCTATGAATAAATTTGTAGTGTCTGAATGCCCTTATTTGTAAAGCTCAAAAGCTTTTGCATGCATTAACAGGTGTAGCGGGGTTATGGGTAAATATGCAGCTGGAGACCTCAAGCCACCTACAACTGGTAAGTTAGTCTATTTGTTTTAAGTCGATTCTTTGTTTTTTTGCTTCTGCTGATTTTGTCTCTTGTTTTTTTTTCGGCCACTGATTCTGTCTCTTGTTTAAATGCATTAAATTTGAATTTCAATTTTTTAAATAATCACGTTTGTAAAGGGATGGTGGTTGTGTTTTTTAGGGGCCACAGTTATTCTTCCTGCTTCTAATTCCTGGTCCTTGTGTTTTCTCAATATAATTTTATTTTGCTGATGATAATGTCTGAGGTGGATTTTCTTGAAGATAAGTCTCAATTATAAACCTGTGCCCTTCAGATCTGTGAATTGCATTTATTTTCCTGCATTGGTGCTGCATTATGAGTATTCTGTGTATGGCAGATTTCTCAAAAAATACCGTAGGGCAAGTATGTATAATATTCAGAGTTTAATTTGGAGAATAGGGAAATGGTGAAATCATGTGGCAATTCTTATACTATTTACACTCAAATATGAATGATGGGAGATATCTTCTCTAGCTTTGGGTAAATATGGAAGTCACATCACATTGGTCCAAACCAACTTAGTGCAAACTTAATTTCAACTATGCTTTGACCATCATGGGAGTTAGCTGCATAAATCCTTTTTGTCCATTTTACCATTTAGAAGTCATAGTCTCTTCAGACCTAAAGACCCTAAGTCCTTTTTCATTTTTAGAATTCATGTAATTCTCATCTCATCCTCCCATCTTGTTCCTTATACTTGAATCATATTACTTATGCACTAAATCATCCCTTGACATTGGAAGAGAATAAACCACTTAAACTACTCTCTTGTCCTCAATCGGTACTGTCTTGAGTTTCTTACCAGTAAGGCTGCTCCTTTGCTTTCTTTTATGACAACATGTCCTACAGCAGAACTGGAAAATTTCTTCTGAGGAACACATCCAAGGAAAAGCTAGAGAAAAAGAATTTGGATTTAGCTTCATTTTACTACAGTGATAAACTTGAAGTCGAGATTTGATTAGTTTAACCACTAGTACTAAGTGATTATAGGCATTAAAGGTCATCATTTGACTTCTATTTTTTCTTAGCTTATTCTCGTGGGTCTGGAAAGCATCCTCAACTCATGCCATCAACCCCAAGATGGGCTGTTGCTAATGGTGCTGGTGTTATTTTAAGTGTGTGTGATGAGGAAGTTGCTCGCTATGAGACAGCTACTTTGACAGCTGCAGCAGTACCTGCACTTCTACTTCCTCCTCCAACAACAGCTCTAGATGAGCATTTAGTTGCTGGCCTACCTGCTCTTGAGCCATATGCACGGTTATTTCATCGGTAAGCCTCTGAACCTTACAGGGTTTTGTTTCAGCCTTGCTCATAATATTCATTCCATAGTTCAAGGTAGTATTGAGTCCTCTGTTTTTGCAATGTCTAAAAAGCATTGGATTGGACAGGGAAACTACAACTTGAATAGAAAGATTATATTTTGAGCCACTATGGG